TTCTACTAGTTCAAAAAGCAGCAAAGGATCATCCACTAGTGGTGGTGGTGGGAATGGAGGATCCTCGTCAAAGTCTGAAGGCAGCGGTGGATCAAGTGATGGAGGAAAATCAGGAACCGCTTCTAGTTCAAAAAGCAGCGGAGGATCATCTACTAACGGCAATGAAGGATCTTCCTCGGCATCTGGAGGAGGCAGTAGTGGATCAAGTGAAGGAGGAAAAACAGGAGCCTCTGCAAGTTCAAAAAGTAGTGGAGGATCATCAACTAGTGGTAATAGTAAGGGAGGATCCTCCTCAGGGTCTGGAGGCAGTAATGAATCAAGTGAAGGAGAAAACAAAGAAGCATCTACAAGTTCAAAAAGCAGTGGAGGTGACAACAAAGAATCCTCAACGGGGTCCAGAGGCAATAGTGGATCAAGTGACGGAGGAAAAACAGAAACCTCTGCAAGCTCAAAGAGTAGCGGAGGATCGTCTACTAGTGGTAGCAGCAGTGGAGGATCTTCTTCGGGGTCTGGAGGAGGAGGATCAAGTGGAGGAAAAACAGGAGCCTCTGCTAGTTCAGAAAGTAGCGGAGAATCGTCCGCTAGTAGTGGAGGCAACAAAGGATCCTCCTCACAGTCACGAAGCGACAATGGAGGAAAAACAAGTGCCTCTACTAATTCAAAAAACGATGGAGGATCTTCTACAAGCGGTGGTGGTAACAAAGGATCATCCTCGGGGTCTGGAGGCGGTAGTGGATCAAAGGAACAAGGATCCTCTGCTAGTTCAACAAGCAGCGGAGGATCATCTACTAGTGCCGGAAACGATGGAGGATCATCCACTACGTCCGGAGGCCAAGCAGGATCATCTCTTAGTCCTGGTGGCAACGAAAGATCCTCGTCAGGGTCTGAAGGCAGTAGCAAATCAAGTAGTGAAGGAACCTCTTCAAATGCTGGAGACTCGGGAAAATCGTCCACCGGTTCAGGACACATCAATGGATCAAGTGGGAGCGGAAATGGAAAAGCCTTGTCCATTTCTAGCAACGAGGGGGAATCATCTGGCACTAAAGGAGGCGCGCAAACGGCTGCAGATGCTGGAGGTGGTGGAGGAGCTGGTGCTGGAGTAGACGGAGGAGTATCTGTAGGAGGAGGAGCTAACGTGGGGGTCGGTGTTGGACTTGGTGGCCATGGTGGTGTAGGGGGAGATGGGGGACTTGGTGGTAGTAATGGAGGAGGTGGCGGCAACGCTGGTGGCGGTGCCGGAGTGGGTGCCGATGTAGGTGTAAGAGGTGGAGCAAACGTGGGTGTAGGCGCGGGACTTGGCGGCCGCGGTGGTGTTGGGGGAGACGGAGGACTTGGTGGTGGTAATGGGGTAGCTGGCGGTCACGGTGGTGCCGGGGGCGGTGCCGGAGTAGGTGCCGATGTGGGTGTAGGAGGTGGAGCAAATGTGGGGGTAGGTGC